GACTCACACATTGTCACCTCCAGCTCAGACCTCATTTTAGACCTGCATTTTTAACTGTCTACTTTGCTTGATTATCTCCCAAGCTCAACTTGCCACAAACAAATTCATCCTCCAAAGCTATTCGTTTTCCTTTTTTTTTAATTTAATTTATAAACAGTACCATCATCTACCCTGTATGAAAATTAGAGACTTGTGGTCATCCTTGAAAGTCCTCTCTCCCTTATTTCCTTTATTAACAGGTTTTATTGATATCTATTTCAAATAATTATTTTCTCGATTTTCTCTTACCTCTCTATCATCACTGCCATTCATCACCTGATTCCAAGCAACTCACCTCCCACCCAAGTGCCTGAAGTGGCCTCCAGACTTATCTCCCCAATCTAGTTTGGCTCCACATTGAAGCTGGAATGGTCTGTTTCAAACGCAAATTTGACCATGACATTTCTCAAGGAACAACACTTAAATGGCTTCCTATGTTTCTTGGGCTAAAGAACAAAAACTCTCATTGTGGTTTATCATGTCCTTCATGTATGGTCCCTGCTGCCCTCTCTGGCATCTCTCTCACTGTGCTCTCCTTACTTTCTCACTCTGGTTACACTACATTGCTTTCATTTCTTGAATGCACCAAGTTCTTCGCCCCATCACACAGCCTCAGCTTAGGCTGCTGCTTCTGCTGCTCCCACACACTCCTATCAGGTTCCCTCCCTCTCTTTACCTAGGTGCAGCCTGTCCTTGCTCCAGCCTCACCCCAGTAAGCATTTCTTCAAAAAAGCCTTCCTGGATCTCCCCTATTGCATTCATTTCCCTCTGTGCACTTTCAAAGTGTCACGTACCCCTGAGCTCTATCTTTTAACAGAGATTAAAGTTTACTATTAGTAATTCTTTATTAACTGCATCCCTCTAGCTGCCCCCACCCCTACCCCCCACAACATACACACATACACATGATACTATTTACAGGTTCCTTGGGCACAGGAACTATGTTTGCAAATGCCTGGCACATAGTAAATGCTCAGTGATTACTTGAGGGAATTAAGTGTGGATCTTTTTAGGTCAAGCTTATGATAGTGTTTTTATGGTAATAAGAGTCTTTGCAGGGATTCCTTCTAGTCCTTGGAATAAGATCTGTTAGCAGGCATTCAGTTAAGTTTAGCTATATCAATAAGTGAATGCTCCAGAGCCAATACTTCCTCCAAACCCAAGTAAAAAGACTCAGCCATGTGGAGGAAATTATGGTCTGAGAGGCTCAGCTTTCTTTATGCTTGGAACACGGTGAGCTAGCCATATATTGAAAATCACGTCTCCAGACTGAGAAATGGGGGCTACATGGGCGCTTCTTGAAACCAGCCCCCACTCTGGAATGTCAGACCTGCACTCCCAAAGAGATGGTTGGCTAATTCCTCTGGGAAACATAGGGTTGCTATGAGTCAGAATCAACTCAGTGGCAGTGGGTTGGGTTTTGGTTTATGGGTAGCTTGACAGAGCCTGTTCAGGCAGCTCTGAGATGTGAGCTGGTCTTGCCTTTCCCCTACTCCGTGAGGGGAACTGAGTAAAAGCCCTCATCTCTAAGTCTTTCTAGGAGAAACCATGTACCCACCATAGTCTGGAACACAGCACATGGACACTCAATAGCAAATCAGTGAATGATTGAATGAGTAAATGAAGCAAGTACTGTGCTTCACTCACCTTCATGTCATCCAATAATCATCCATTAAGGAACAATAATGTGGAGGTAGGTCCTTGCTGGACACTGGCATTAGAGAGATGAGTAGGACACAGTCCCTGTTCTTGAAGACTTGCCATTCTTACTAGAGAGATTTGGCTAAGTAAATCCAACTTGTCTAAGTTGCAATGAGTTTGGTAGAAGTGCTCTGACAGAGGAAACACTCAACACTATTAAGCAAGAAAGGGTGTTGGCTAAATGTGCTGGAGGGCTGGTTCAGATGTTCTTAAACGTCTGTGAGTTTGGAGAACCAAGATCATAGCTTATGGGAATTAGCATCCTATAACTTGGGACTCAGCTAAGTTCTGGGAACACATGGCTGAAAGAGGAGAAAACTCAATTTGGTTCCATAAGAACAAATGTGTGTGGGCAGAGACTTCACCTCTTCAGCGAAACACTGCACTACCACAAGCATTTAGCGAGCACTGTTACATGTCAGGAGCCCTGGTGGCACAGTGGTTAAGAGGTTGGCTGCTAACCAAAAGGTCAGCAGTTTGAATCCACCAGCCACTCTTCGGAAACCCTATGGGGCAGTTCTACTCTGTTCTATAGGGTCACTATGAGTCAGAATTGACTCAACAGAAATTTTTTTTTTTTTTTTTTTTTTTTTTTTTTTTTTTTTTTTGGTTTGCTTACATGTCAGGCTCTTTGCTAACATGGGAAAACAAAGATTAATGAGGCACGGTCCTGCTTCTGAGGAGCTTGCAGACAACTGGAGGAGACGAGTGTGCAAAAAAATTACTAACAATATTGGTACATTGTGGTAAGAAATATTGTGAGTTGTGTGCAAAGTGATATCAGGATCTAGAAAAGAAAGAGAAAAATGCCCTTAGTTATCTCATACTGGAGCCCTGGTGGCACATGGTTGAGAGCTGGGCTGCTAATCAAAAGGTCGGCAGTTTGAATTCACCAGCCACTCCCTGGAAACCCTATGGGGCAGTTCAACTCTGTCTTATACTATTATAATAGTAGTAGTCCTAGTACTACTGTAATAAAAATACCACAATTGGATGGTTTTAACAAATGGAAATTTGTTTTCTCACAGTTTAGGAGTCTAGAGGTCCAAATTCAGGGCACCAGCTTTAGGTGAAGGCTTTCTCTCTCTGCCAGCTCTGGGGGAAGGTCCTTGTCTCCTTTCAACATCTGTGGGCCTGGCTTTCCTTGGATATCTCCACGTGTCTTGGCATCAATCTTCCCCTGGATCTAGGAGGTTCTCAGTACAGGGACCCCAGGTCCAAAGGACACACTCTGCTCCTGGCTGTTCTTTCTTGGTGGTAGTGAAGTCCCTTTCCTTTTTGCTCACCCCTCTCTCCTTTTATCTCTTGTAAGATAAAATGTGTTAATCAAGGGAGCAACTTGAGTAAGGATGTGGCTTGAATAAGAGTGTGACTTGAGTAAAGCTGTGACTTGAGTCACACCCTTTAGTAAGAGTGTGACTCAAGATACACCCCACACTAATCCTGCCTCATTAACTTATAGAGGTTTAGGATTTACAACACATAAAATGGAGGACAATTACACAGTACCACAAAATGGAGGACAATTACATCAGATCACATAACTGAGGATGATTACATCATTATATAACTGCCAAACCACTGAGAATCATGGCCCAGCCAAGTTGACGCATACTTTTGGGGAACACAGTTCAATCCATGACATGCGCCCAGGGCACTGACAGCCAGAGAAGGGGCTTTGGCTGATGTAGGATATGCTGGTGCTGATGTAGCAGAAAAATAGGGATGGATCAGGAAAAGGATGCTGTGGACTTTAAGCTGCCGCACACAAACATGGCACCATGAGGAATATGAAGAGCAACAGGAGGATGTTCACTTAAGGTGCCTACCCACTAGACCACTCTCCAGAGGGGTTCACTCAGGTGTCTGGAATGAGAAGTTGCCTCTGATCCCTGGTACACACATGAAGAGGCTGGGCTTTAGCATCTTTGGCTACTTACTTTTGCTATGGCATTAGCCATCTCCACAGTTGTTTTGGCGGTGATTGAGGGACTCCAAACCAAATAAACTCATTGCTGTCAAGTCAATTCCAACTCATGGTGACCCTATGTGTTACAGATTAGAACTGTGGTCTATAAGGTTTCCTTGGCTATGATTTTTACAGAAGCAGACCGCCAAAACTTTTCTCTGTGGCACTGCTGGGTTCAAACCCCCAACCTTTAGGTTAATAGTTAAGCACAAACCATCTGTGCTGCCCAGTATCTCTTTGAGGGGCTAGGAGACATAAAAGTTGAATTCAAGGTTTCTGACCATTGAGGCCTGAACTTGGAGTCAGAAGACATGTGGAATCCTGACCCTGAACTGTATCAGCCATATGATAAAATGGGAAAAATCAGTATCTACCTTTCAGAATGTTTGTAAGGATTAACCATGCTGGGTCTGTGAAATCACCCAAAACAGGGCTGAGATACATAGGTGCCCAGGTCCTTCCTTCCTCTACCTTGAATTGAGTCAGTGAGTTAGTGCCTGGTAGAGCATATAGCATCAATCCACTCTGTGTTGAGATTTAAGGTAATAAATTCCAAAAATGGAATTTAATTAGATATAAGTTTTCTGAACCCAAGGTGACTGCCTTTAATACACTAAATTTCTACCATACCATTTATTTCATATAAAACAAAAAAACTTTATTTTTTAATTTTTAAAAATACGAAACCAAAAACAAAACCCATTGCCATCGAGTCGATTCTGACATATAGTGACCCTATAGGACAGAGTAGAACTGTCTCATAGGGTTTCCAAGGAATGGCTGGTGGATTCAGACTGCCGACCTTTTGGTTAGCAGCCAGAGGCTTAATCACTGTGCCACCAGGGCCCAGTGATTTTTAATTGTGATACCTTAACACAAAGTTGTTATTTTCATCATTTACCTGACAGAATAAAGTAGAGTTAGGAATAACTTCATGAACCCAATAATTGAACTGTAGTTCCATAGTTTGATCCTAGGAGTGAAGCAGTATGAGGGATCAAATATCCCACTTGATGTTGTTGGGGAGATGCTCCAACATAGCAGTTCTTTTACCTTGGCCAACTCCTTTAATTTCTGTGCACCTCAGTTTCTTCATCTGCAAAAAAAAGGGTATAATAGTAATCCCAACCTTATAGGAATTAATCCTCAAATAGCACAATATGTATAATGCCCTTAGCACTGTGCCTGGCACATAGTTTTCAATAAATGGAAGCTGATGTCATTATGATTGTTGTTTAGTCATGTATGTGAGATTTTTCTACATCTTTCTCTTTCTCCTTTTTCCTCCAAGGCGCCTCCACCCAGAATTCTAACACTGTGGAGCCAGAGAAGCAGGTGGACAACACTGTAAAGATGGCTGGCGTGATTGCTGGCCTCCTCATGTTCATCATCATTCTCCTGGGCGTGATGCTGACTATCAAAAGGAGGTGAGTCTCTGCTGCTGCCCTGCACACTCTGCCGACTGCAGGTGGTCCCACGCTGCCCTGTGGCCAGGTCACTGTCCTATTGATCACTGTCCAACAGGAACCTTCCGATATGATTGTTGAGGTCCTCAAATACTCCGGCCAACTGTGGCTCATTGTGTGTGTGCTGCCTGCTTGGTGAGTGGCCCTGTGATGGCCAATTTCTTATAGGGCCAGTGATCCCTACAGTTGGGCCACCTGATGTGCCATGGGATTCTGTGTATCATGAAATTTGGCTTCTCGGAATTAACAGCTATGTTGTGAATTGGTCATGTCATCAAGACAGCCTTGCCTAGATGGAAGCTCTTCTAGGTCCAGGGATAGAGATGCAGAAAAGTAATGCATCACCCTCCTCACTTCCATTCACCCCTGATTTCCCATTCCTTCAATGGTCAAATAGTAGCAGAATCCCAAGCCGCCCTCTGCTGGATGGTGTGAAAGTTCCCAAGGAAAGCTCCTTCCTTCTCCATGTCCCACATGCCCTTCCCAGATAGGTTGCTTCTCATCATCTCTCAACAGGACGTCTCCCTGGGCATCTCTGGCCAACTAACACAGTTTTCTCATATTGTGTGTGTTTCCTCCAGATTGCATTGCCCAGGAATGCAAAGGTGCAGATTTCTCCCTTATCCCCAAGATTCACTACACTGGTGTTTCTGTTTAGCAGATGTTCACACAGCTTGCAGAGAGCACAAAGGAATGACAGAGAGGGAAAGGAAATGCTAAGGATGAATATCAGCTGTCACTGTCCCGAAAGTGCATTGGTTTTTCCTTTAAACAGGAAGTCCTACAGACCACCTCTCCTTAGGCCCTGGACTGCCACTGTGCTTCCATGCTTACTATCCACCTTCTACCAGAGTAGAGTAAACTTCCTCAGTCTTCTTAATTTCAATGCCACGGCCCCAACCTTGGTCTCCATCTTCTCACTCCCCAGTCAGCCAGAGCAAACAAAACATTCATCCACATTATAATAATATGTGTTGCAATGTGCTCTGCCTCCCATGAAAAGGACATTTTATATTTTTAAACAAACTACTTAACACCTCATCCTGAAGTGTCTGAATGTGGTTACTCACAGAGTTCTGGGCAAAGGCGAAAAGTGCTTCTGAAAGTGATTTCCCACCAGAACGAAGGGAAAGAATGACCCAAAGACAAAATCCATCTTTTACCTTAGCCACAGGAAAGAAATGCAGAAAGTTAAACAAAAAAATCAATGTCTCAATTTCCAGCCCTCAGGGATTCAGAAATACCGGGCTTCCCACTATGTACACATCCAGCGAGCCCTTTCTTAGCCATTTAGGCACCAAAATGTCCCTGTTTCTCTCGTGGTTCTTGTTTGAATTGGCCAGTTCTCCCTTGGTATCTTATTGTTTGGAACTTGTTCTTTTTTTTATTTCCTTCATCTAATAGGATCACTCGTTTCCTTAGGCTCCCGGAAGAATGGCTTAAGAGTTAAGGTTTTCATCCAGCTACTGGTTTTCTGGCTGGAGAGGCTAGGAGAAAGGGAAGGTGCTGTGTTAACACTGGGGTCAAGAGCCCCCAAAGGGCTAAAGGACAGCATTGCATTTTTATATCATCATCATCATCCGCAAGACATGGTCATATTTTATGCCTTAGTGACTGGTCAGCCGCTTTATATGAGATAGAATTGAGTTTTGATTTCTCTGGGGCACACTGCACATATAAGATCACTGACATGCTTCTTAGAGTCACGGAAGCATTAGAGGCAGAGGTGAGCTTGGGATTGTCTACTTGGAAAAAGTAACCGATTGAATAGAATTGAATACCTCTTTGATAGACCTGAAATTTTCTCATTTTTCACCACTGATTTGTAAGTCAGATATGCTCTTCCAATTTTGCTCTTTCTAAAGCCTGGTTTAACCCATGTCATCATCCTCTATGAGCTTGTGAAGAAATTACACTTCCTTCTCAACAGCTATTTCTGAAATGTGTGACTTTTCGGGAGGAAAGAAAGGGCTTTCTGTTTCCAGGGTGGGAGTGAATATAAAGTGAGTCCTTTTTGTGGCTGAAACCTCTTCTGCGTATCTTTATCATCTCTCATCTGTATCAAAACCATCAGTCAGACCCAACCAACATGTGTTATTGTGATCGCCATTTCTCCCCAAGAGGCAAAACTCAGATGTTGTGGCAGTGATGGGGGGCAGGAGGGGCCGTTGATCAGTGTTTACATTTTACATACGCAGTGACTTTTGGAGAAAATAAGACATTTTGCTGACCCAGTTGATGGGAATAATTTACAGATGGATATGGGAAGAGGAGAGCAGAAGAGAAGGGAGGAGAAGAGAAAAAGGGGAGGAAGAGAGAATTGAACATAGGCCTGCATTCTTTCCATCAACTTACAACATCCTCTGGTGTCTAGAAATACCCCCAAAGGATGGTGAAGGGCTTGGTGAGCTCCTTCTCCTCTTGTGACCCCCACCTTGTGTGTAAATATGGGGGACACTTCATTGGTTGGCTGAGTCTGCTGTCACTAACTTACTACTAGCAAGAATTCTGTCCACAGCTACATAAAAGGAAGAGGTATTAAAAGAAAAGAAACCCCCAAATATTAGGCAAATCATCATAGCTCAGGGGCCTAGTGTCAACATCTCTTCTGTGTTACATCATGTTCATGGATCCACGAGCCATCAAAGCTTGAACATCTGCCACCTTCCCTCCACTGGCTGAAGCTTGCCTGGGTCTTCTCCTTACCTTCCATGCGCATGGGCGTAGTGGCTCCCTGTTTCCTCTGGCCCTAATGGATTCAACTGGCTTGACGTCTTCTCTACAGCTACAGCCACAAACGTTCCCAGTACACATAAGATGTCCCTGGTACACAAAAGATGTCCCCAGCTTCTCCCTCTGAAGAGTTCACCATCTTTGGTCTTTGGGCTTCCTTGTCGTTCTCCAAAAAGAGTCTTTCTCTTCTTGTTAGGTCTTTCCTTTTGTAATGCAGAACTAGAAAGCAGGCAGAGAATGGGCCAGAGATACAGAGGACAAAGGGACAGGCTTAGTCAAAGAAGTTAAATCAATTTATATTCAGAAAACATGCAAAAGGAAGAGGAGGGAAGAGAGAGAGGGAAAAAAAATCAGAAAGCTTGAGGGATTTTGTTGTTGTTTTTTGTTATTGTTACTTGGTTTGATTTTGTAATTAGAGGATTTTGAACAATAACAGGCTACAAAAGTGATACAAGATGTTAGGTGTCATTCAAATGGGACTCCCTTATTGTTTACAAAAGATGCAAATTAAAGCTTAGAATTCTTTTCTATTACCTTTGGCTGTTTGGACTGGGCTTCTCTGAATGTGGGACCATATAGAATCATGGCCACATAGAGACACACAGGATTACATGAGTATTTTTAGAAGTGAACCTGGAACTCTTCCCTGATAGAGTTAATAACAAGTGTGGTTTTAGCCAAGCTCACTGCAAAATATCTATCCTGATGCCGCCATTGGATAATGCCTCCATTTTGTTCTCCATCTATCAATCATATCTAGGCCTCAGAATGTTCTAGAATAGGTTCCCCTAGGCCATTATATAGTAAAACATACTTCCTTTTTTGAATATCACTTTGGGTCCTAAGACTCTCATCACTGACTCAACACTTCAGTCCTCGTCATCTCCTTCTCTTACCTCTTCCCCTTAGAAATTATTGGGCATTCTCCCCCAAAAGAATGAACAGTCAAGGGTCACTTGACTACCCCTATGGTTCCTTGGCTTAATATCTGAAATTGACACCTCAACCAATGTATCTTGATGGTTGGAGGTATTTATTAGCCACTCATATACAAAAAGTTCTACACTTTAATATTTGTGGGTGGGGTGGATATAAACATGCATGTGTCCACAAGTTTCATATAGTCCAATTTTATGACTTGGGAAACACTCCCTGAAGTCTGAGAATAGTCCCCCAATGCTTAAGGTTTAGCCATCTGCTTTTGCATGAAGAAACACCAAAGGCAGGTTTAACAGGATCCTTTACTAAATCTGCCCCCCAAGACCTGTCTGTATCCTAATTAACCTCACCATCCCTTCTTAATTTTCAAGTGAGATCTAGGCAACCTTGAGGGAGACATTTTTGAAGCCAGTCATCACACATGGTTCCAACCACCCCCATCTGCTCCTTATTCCCCCTGCCCAGCCCCTCCTGGCCCAGCCCGAACTTCCTGACAACCATTACTTGCCTACCCAAACAGTAACTTTCCCAAGAGTCTATCTGGAGTGTCCTGAGTTTGAAATATAGGAGTCTATTTTAAGATATATGTGCATCTTTGGGTGCACTTTGATTTCTGTGATTTACAGTAGGCCTCGTACCCTCATCATTAACAGTACATCCTGGAAGGTTTATGTTCCTGCCTCTGTTAGGCCAAAAGAAGTTATTTAGGATATGAAAACACAGGCAGATGTCTGCCTCCTATCGACACTGCTCTGTGAGCTCCAGAGTCATGACAAACATTAGCTACTAGGGCTACAGGAACCACAGCCGACTGCCAGGCCCCCAGGCTCTGTGCTTCAGCATCCTTCATGCCTCCTTCTCACTCTTATTCTCCCTGTCCTGGTACTGGGGACACATATATAAACCAGACATGGGCTCTGCCCTACAGTAGCTCCTAGTTTAACGTGTACAGATACCTCATAGCTGTGGACTGGGTACCAGAAAAACTGCATCTAAAATTCTATTGTCCCATTTACTTGCTGTTAACCTTCGGGAAGCAACTTAACCAGTTCCAGCCTTTGTTTCCTCATCTGTTGGATGCAGCCAAGCTCATGGGGCTATACTGAAGATGAAAGGAGCTAATGATTGAAGAAGTTTTGTCCCCCTGTACCTGCCTAAGGAATTACAATGCACAATATCAACAGAGACCTTCATCTCACACATGACCATCAACTTGCACCAAGCAAGGTAGCTCCAGACCCGTCACGAATGAGTTGAAGGCAAGGCCACAATTGACGCTCACACACTGA